GATGAAAAGAAAGAAAAATGCACCCTTATCTTATAACACACAGAGAAATCTGCTCTACCTGAAATATAGAGATAATGTGAGACTTAAACAGTATAATTTATAGAAGTAATCCCAGGAGGAAGCTACTCAACATTGATTTTAATAACGATTTTTTGGACGTTATGCCAGCTCCTTATGCAACAAAAGCAAAAATAGAAAAGTAGAAAAACATAAAAACAAGAAGTCTTTTAATGAAGGAAAGAAAGACACTTTGAAAGATAGCCATAGAGGGACAATAGCAGGAAGGAAAGATGACATTTAAGGGTCAAACAAAGGCCCAGCTAGATGTGATGAAGAAAGAATAATGATCTGAAATTGGGTGGGAAGGCGGAAAGAGTAGATAGTTATAGCTTATGAACAATTGGAATTTCAAGAAGAAAGGAGTGGTCAAGCCTAACATTGCATTTTGCATAGAAATGGAAGATGTAGATAAAGAGTCGTCAGTCCCTACCATGGGCCTCTCTGACCAAACAGGGGCCTCTGTGGGTACGGCGGGGTGGACCCAGCACTCTAGCTGCTACGTACAGTTCCTCCTCTGTGGGGATGCTGGAGGACGTGTTGGACGTGTTAAAGAATGGCATCTGTACCCAGTTAGAGGGGCAGGAAGGGACATTCAAAATGGTCCCCTGACTGCAGCTCATGCTTTATAATCCTGTGGATAGTGTGCACCATCACTAGGAATATTCCAACTGAATGCTAGGTAGTCTCTAGGGCTGAGTGGATATGAAAAGCCACATGAGCTCAGTCCACACTCTCAGGGAACCACTGTATTCTTCCATCGTTTTGGTTACTATACTTGAGGGTTCCTCTAACTCTGTTCTACAGCTTTGTTATAGTCACCACCATTCAACTTGAAGATGTTCATGAAAAGACTTTTTGAGAAATTTCTGTTCTTTTCCTCTGTGGCCAGAGGTATCTGACGGTGTCCTACATATTTTCTTGTGAATCTTCTTCACAGTCAGATACAGATGCATGGATGGAGTTTCAGTCCGAAGAAGCTGCCAATGGTCTTCATTTGGGCAAAGTTATGCAACTTTCTCTTGACTGAATTACCAAGCTAAAGGCAGCCTAAGTTAATGTGCTCAAAAATGAAAGCGATTGGGGGATAGTAGGGGATAGGAAAGTAGCAGAATACAACAGTCACTAATATGCCATTATGTAAAAATGTGAGTATGTAACAGAAGTGAGTCTGTATTATGTATTTGGGGAGTTCAAAACCCAATTGAGTCGAATGTATGAAAGATGATATGTCTTGAGCTCTGTAATGTTTTGAACAACCAATAAAAAAAAAAAAATGAAAGCGATAGTAAGAGCTTCTGGAAAGTCCACTTCTGTTAATGAATGGAGAACTATCAGAGGGATTTTTCTTTTAAGTATAGCCAGTCTTTGCTCAATGGTAGAAGAAAATGTTTGAAATACACAGAATGCAACTACAGAAATGTTCTCATTAGGTGATCAGATTTTTGAAACATTTATGGGGACCCTATATATTATTTCATATTAGTAAATCCTGGGGTCCAAATGAGAAACTATAGTGTATTTTGTCAATCTTGCATACAAACAGAAAATAAGCAAAGAACCCAAACACAAGTCGGCACCTTGGATTCTAGGCCCAGGGAATGCATTGCTATTTGCACTCTGACTGGGAGCTGCACCTGCCTTCCCTACAGAAAGCTGATTTGGTTTGAACCAGTAATCAAGGAAGATGGGCAGTGGGTCACTGTCAGAACAGATTAAGAAAGGTGTCTAGAATATGAAGTCATTGCTGGGCTCAAGGCTGAGCTTGGTCACATTTAATCATTGCTTCATTTTAATCATGATGAACAACACCATCAGCAAAACTAGGAACGGAGACTTTTTACCAGGGAAGTCAACGATTCTATAAAACCACAAACATGCCTGAAATGACCGGGAATTTGAACAATAATTATGTTCATGAATGCGCCCATAGAAGCTGCACCCAATGAATAATTGCAGTCACATACACAGAAAGACAGACCAGAGAATGACCCATGAAAGTACAACAGACATGCCTCAAATGTCCCTGAAGCCCAGAAACACAGGGAGAACATAAAATCCACCCATCACAATATTAAGTACTTAAATGACACTAATTTTGCTCTGGCCATAAGAAAATGCTCAGGAATTTTGAGATCTCCTCTAGCCAAGCAGAGAGGGCAGCAAGTGCACATCAAGGGCGGGTAGTCCAGCTGTGACGGCTGCTGACAACTTGGTCATGCAAGCTGCTTTTGCTCATGGGACTGATTTCTGTTCAAGTGCAGAACAAGCCTAGCTTTTAATGTGAGCAAATATGAGCAGGAATACACCATGGTGAGGCAGAGGTATTTTTAAAGAAGTCAAAGAAGTCTGAGAGAGATGGTTAAATGCATTTGGAGATATTACTAAAATAATAAAATATTAACTACATTTTGTGATTCCCACAAGACAGTGTTTTTCAGATGGTAACAGCTACCCTCAAATGAATGTCCCTTACCACTGACCTTTTCTTTTCTTTATGTACAGCATGTACAGTTGTTCTCTCTTATCTGTGGGGAATATGTTGCAAAACACTTAGTGGATGCCTAAAACTGTGGGTAGTACTAAATCCTGTATATGCTATTTTTCCTACACATACATACCTATGGTAAAGTTGAATTTATGAATTAGGTATAGTAAGAGATTAAAAAAACTAATGATAAAAAAAATTATGACAATGCTCTGTAATAAATTCAACAGCATCACTACCTTTGTGCTTTGTGCCCATTAGTAAATGAAATAGGGTTACTTAGACACAAGCACTGTGATATGCAAAAATCAACCAATTAACCAAGACTCCTAAGTTGCTAAAGGGCAGATAGTGTTTAACATGTGGATACCCTGGACAGAGAATGAGTCATGCATGGCCCAGGTGGAACCCCAAAAGGGATAGTTCAAGATTTCATCATGCTATTCAGAACAGCATGCAATTTATAACTTAAGCTTTGTTAATTTCTTGAAATATCAATTTATTATTTTTGAACCACAGTTGACTACAGGCAACTAAAACTATGGAAAGTAAAACATGAAACATGAAAACACAGAGAAGGGGCAACTACCACACTCTTTATTGGGGTTCATTCAGAATTTACAATATATGAGCCTATAAGTCTATGTACAATAGGCTTTGTATGGAAATAAGGTGCAAGCAAATGAGTCAATGTCTTATGCTGAGAAATTTCTCAGTAATTATAGAGCAATAACTTTGCCACTAATGTCTAGCACAACGTAAGTTTTTGCCCTCTTTTACCTATTGGGATCTCTATTAAATTTCATTTCTATCATTTGCTCTCTATGTTCTTCACTTAATTTTTCCACCTGGGCTCCCATATGACCTGAGCCAAATAAAGAGCAGGGGTCAAAGAAATAATATTGTGCATTTAGTGTGGTTGGTTTGGAGAATTGAAGAATGGACTCAGACATAAGGAACTTGGCAGGCAGGACAGTTCTAGATTATTCCCACTTCAATAAAAATATTTTTGAGTGTTTGTTTTTGCCCTCATTTATCTGTGGATATCTCTATGAAATTTCATTTGAAGAAAATGCCTAACTATAAAAAAAAAGTTCTAGGTATGAACAATCATTTGGAAACTTTGGATATGATCTAACATATATGCCAGAAATGATTCTTTCTGTTTCCTAGGAAACCGTCTCAGAAATTATTCAATTAACTTGATTTAAAAAAAAACAATGTTTAAGAATGAAAAAAAAAGTATATCTGAGATTTAGTTAATTAGGGATCAAATATAAATTGAAAAAAGAAGAATCAAACCATTAGCTTTCTATCTCAGTCTGGATTCTGCTGTAAGGTACAGTAGTGCTTCTGTGCTTCACAGAATACTCAGTAAGCAGAATGACCCTGAGGCCTGATTGAGTGTAACTCCAAGTGCCTCTGGACTTTGCCATGGACCTTGGGACCCTACCCTAGGAGTGCCTTTAAATGGCATTCTGTAAGGATGCACCTAGTACTAAGTTCTGTGGTTTTCAATAACACAGAGACGCATACTCAAGGATTCTTGCTACTTTTACATTACATTGTAATGTCATTGACTACACCAATATGTACATAAGTAATACTGCTTTCAGTATTAGCTTTCCTTAAAATATAACAGACAATGAGCTTTCTGATTCTCACCAAAGTCCCACTGTAAGTCATTGCACTGCCAGGATAGAAGAACTCAAAAATACTGTGACAATATATTAGCAACATACTCCAGCTTTGGAAGTCACGTTCTGCCTTTCTTAACAAATAGCATGTGATTCCTTCCGAAAGCGACACTTATCCCTGGCACAATGTCAGGGACTACATGGGTCTTCTATCTGCTTCAACTTTGCTGACTCACACGACCTTTCTGAAGATATATTTGGTTCATTTTTCTAATATCAAACTTATTCACCCATTGTTCTTAACAAACAAAGGAGAATGTGACAGTTCCCTGGTCTCTGTGCTGAGAAGCATTTTAGGGAATATTTTTGCCAAGCCCTCTCTTGCACTGACATGTCTCCCTTTCTACAGAACTCCACAGTTTGCAGCATCTTATTCTAGCTTCTACCTTAATGAGGAGTCTCTGACCCTGTCCCTAAAAAAAGCAGGCTTTTAAGAAAGTAATTAATATTTCTCATTCCTCTGACAAAGCTTCTTAAAGAAACAGTATGCGTTCAAATTAATTCTTAAAATGCACATTGTGGAAAATTCACTCACATATAGCCTAAGCATGAATAAATGTTAGGTTATGTTCTGAGTGTTGCAATCCTTTTCATACCAGAATATTGAAAGAGAAAAATCATCATTTTCCCAAAACAGATAGAGGCTTCAGAATTTTTAATAGCAAAGAAAATAATTTTTTTGTAGAAATGTAAAAAATGTGTTAATTTTTTCAACAAAATTCACACAATATGGCTTTATTGTAAAGTAATGATCTTACTTGAATATAGGTAGAGCAATATTTTCCTTTGTTGTGGTCACTTCTTTGGCAATCTCAACATTCTGGAGAGCAGTCTAGAGGCAGAAATGATAAAAGAAAAAGAGGAAATTCTATGAGCATACCAAATAGAAGAAATGAAATCTATATACTGAAATGTATTCAGTTCACTCATGAGGCAGACATGAATGCTGTATATACTTACTAATATCATGCTGAATTTTCCCACATCTCTTTGTCAATTTCTAGGAATAGCTTAAATCCCTATGAATCATCAAGAGCAGAAATAAGATATTTTCCAAAAAGCCAATGTCATAGATTAATTTCTGTGGAGCACACGGTAGGAAATTGGCTTTAAGGGAAATACAAGGGGATATTTGGTAATTGGCCCCAAATTTCATTTGCTAGTAGTTGGCATTTGGATCTAAACTGCGAAAACCAAGGTCTTTAGAATAAGACCTCGATTTTAAATTAGCAATAATATTTAAGAGCCTTCAATGTGTGGAATAGCCTACCGATTTGAAGCCAAGATGTGATGACTTTTTTATGAGACTTAGCTATTAACTCGGTTCTATGTTGGGAGAAGGGATTGACCCTTTCAGAGGTAATGAAGTCTAAGGCCTGAGCTGCAGATTACTCATTCCAAAGGCTAGGAGGATGTTTCAGCCTTTGTCACTTAATTTTTAATGATCCCATTTATGTTACTTGTCCTTTCGTGAACTTAATCGTAGTGTTAAAAAAACTCTAATACTTTCATAAAATGTTAGCCAGATGACGTATCTGTCTTTACTATTAAAGTGGTATGTGGGGCTGCATGCATAGGAGACATTTTGCAACTTAATTGAAAATATACAACATGTTCAGGAGATGATTCTGAGCTTAAATCAGATTCAGATTCAATCAGATATCTATACATTTTTAAAAATGTCCCCAGAAAAATATGAAGCATAGCCAAGTTGAGAACCCTAAATTAGAAGGAACAGCACATTCTCAGGTATGATAGAAATGATTCTGGCCTAACTTCTGAGGATCCTACCCCTTGGCATAGTCCTTGATTCTGGACTGAGTTTATGTCACCATGATGAGCTTCCCTTCTGTGATAAGATTCCATCACATGACAAAGGTGAGGGGAATTTGTAGCTGTAATATCCCAAATTTGGATTTTTTTTTCAGTACTAGAGATTGAACTCAGGGGAACTCAACCACTGAGGCATATCCCAAGCCTTATTTTGTATTTAATTTTGAGATGGGGAGGTCTCACTGAGTTGCTTAGCACCTCACTGTTGCTGAGGCTGGCTTTGAACTCATGATCCTCCTGTTTTAGCCTCCCAAGCTTTTGGGATTACAGGTGTGTGCCATAGCCCCTCGGCCCAAATCCAGAATTTTCAGTTTATCAATTTGAAGAAAATGATCCTGGGTGGCCTGACCTGATCAGATGGGATCTCTCACAAAGGGTCAGAGAAACAGATTGGGACAGATTCTCTTTCTAGCCAGGAAGAAGTAAGCAGCTGGTGTTGGGACAAGGCTACATGCCTATGTTTTCTACAACGTAGCAGTTAGGAGCTCAGAGCAAATCTGGACTGGCACATCACAAGAAAGGGGAGACTTTAGTCTTTCAAATACAGATAACAAGATTCTGCTGACAACTTAAATAAGCTCAGAAAAAGACCTTGGGATCACACCATGAGTGTGATTCAGTATATTCTTTATTTAAAAGTTAAAAAAAATTTAGATTTATATTTTAAAATATTAATTTCACTGCAGTTATTACTGTCACAACTTCAAATATAAGTTTTTTGTCCTTTTCTATTGTTATTTTTCCATGAACTAATATCCTTAGCCTCCTTCTTTTTTCTACCTTTTTTTTTCCCCTATATACTCATGGATTTTATTTCTAAATAACCAATATACATCAAACCTCAATGATGAAATAAATAAATAAATAAAGCCTGCCCATGCATCCCGCACCAAGGTTGAGATGTGAAAGTTGTTCCCTAAAGAACAGAATGTTACCCTGAGGCCAGTTGACACATGGTTTCTATGGCTACACAGGGAAATAGATTTTAAAACTGGGTTATAAGATGGCCAAAGTGAGCATTCTCACAAGTGCAGTTAGAAATAGGACCAAGTGTGAAAAGCCGAGAAATCTAAGTGCCTGGATGTCTGGGCTTATGACTTCTGTTCACATACTTCCTACCCTCAATTCCTCAGCTATCCACTCGTTTTCACTTTTATTCATTTATTTTTTTATTTCTTTATTGATTTATTTATATGTGACAGCAGAATGCATTACAAATCTTATTACACATAGAGAACACAATGTTTCATATCTCTGGTTGAATACAAAGTATATTCACACCAATTCGTGTCTTCATACTTGTAGTTTGGATAATGATGTCCATCACATTCCCCATCATTTCTAACCCCATGCCCCTCCCTTACCCTCTGCACCCCTCTCTCCTATCTAGAATTGGTCTATCGCTCCCATGCTCCTCCTCCCTATCCCACTATGAATCAGCCTCCTATATCAGAGAAAATATTTGGTATTTGTTTTTTGGGGGGATTGGTTAACTTCTCTTAGCATTATCTTCTCCAACTCCATCCATTTACCTGTAAATGCCATGATTTTATTCTCTTTTATTGCTGAGTAATCTTAAAAAAATATGGAATGCTTCATGAATTTGCATGTCATCCTTGTACAAGGGCCATGCTCATCTCCTCTGCATGGTTCCAGTTCTAGTATATGTGCTGCCAAAGCAACAAGCGAGCACTCATTTTCGCTTTTAAACAAGTAACGGGAGCTGTGCAAAGGTTTGAATGTACCTCTGACTAAAACAAGGAAACCCAATATACTTACACACCAGAAGCACAGACAGTACAAAGAAATGTTCATCATAGCTAATGAAATGATTTTTTTTAAAAAAGTAAAGAATGTAGATATATTAATTTATAGAAGATAGAAGAAAGGAGAAATCCGAAGTTTCTATCTAATTAGAATACATGAAGCAAAAAGAGTCCCAGAACTCCCCACCATATCCTTCCTCATGTCTGAGCTCCCTGAGAGTCATCTGTCTTTATTTATGCTTTTCTAGGCCTATTATTATTATTAACTATTATTATTATTATTATTATTATTTTATCTTTTTTTATATACTGGGGATTGAACCCCCCTGGGTGCTCTACCACTGAGCTACATCACCAGCTTTTGTTATCTTGTTTTATTTTTTATTGTTTTGGTACTGAGGATTGAATCCAGGGGAGTTTAGCCAATGAGCCACATCCCCAGCCTTATTTATTTATTTGTTTGTTTATTTATTTATTTAATTTTGCGACAGGGTCTCATTAAGTTGCTTTGGGTCTCACTAAGTTGTTGACACTGGCTATGAATTTGTGATCCTCCTGCCAAAGCTTCCTGAAACACTGGGTTATAGACATGTACCACTACACCCTGCCCCTGTTGTTTTTAAATATAAGAGACTTGCTAACTTGCCAAGACTGCCTGTCCACGTCTTTATACGTTTTTTCTGTATATGATATTCAGGATTTTAAGTTGTACTTAAGTGAGAGAAGGAGGTAGAATGATTCCTACTACAGTTTGCTCAGTACCAAAACTTGATTTCCATGTTTGACCTAAATATTTAACTAGAAAAGGTGAACATACAATTTAAGAGCATATGTTTGACTTTTTAAATACATTGCTAATTTCAGTTATTCAAGGAGTGTTTTTCAATAGAAATATATCAATATTAACTGTGTGACTTGTAAATTTTTGGAAAATAAACTTATTTTTTTTTATTCACTGAAAAATTAAAATACAAATATCACTAAGAAAAACAAATTCAGCCATAATGGCAAACAGAAAAATTAATAGAAGAAAATAAAATTAATAAAATTTAAAGTATTTTGGAATGCTTATCATGTGTGTGAAAATTTAAGAGTCACTCTTTCTGTTGTATTATTATTTTTTTTTAGTTATACATAGACACAATACCTTTGTTTTGTTTACTTACTTTTATGTGGTGCTGAGGATTGAACCCAGCACCTGACACATGCAAGGCAAGCGCTCTACCATTGAGCCACAACCCTATCCCCTGGTGTATTATTTAATGAGGTAAGTCTTTATCAAAATACTAATTGTGTTTTAAAATAGTGTTTTATAATAGGCTTTATAAAATAAAACCATCCCTCTTCCACCAAAAGGTAAATTCTTATATATTTTTTAACCTAATCTTTCTTACATTATGGACAATAAGAATTTCACAGATTTGGCTCTTTTTAAATAGAAAGTCATAATTTGAAAACCATTATCAGTTTCAACATTACAAAAACAATAAGAGGACTGGGGTTGTGGCTCAGAGGTAGAGTGCTTACCTAGCATGCATGGGCATTGGGTTTGATCTTCAGCACCACATAAAAATAAAATAAAGGTATTGTGTCTACCAACTACCAAAAAAACAAACCTTTAAAAAACAACAAGAAGAAGAGACGATCACATATACAATCACAATAATTACAATTCTTTCTTCCCTAAACTCACTTCAGCACCCTGTTGTAGTTACACACACACACACACACACACACACACACATGCATACAGTTTGTGTCCTACAATTATTAGTCTTTTTGTTACAAGATGAAGTGTCTTGTAACTGTTGACAACCTCAAATTAACTTTCTCATCAATGAGTATAAGCATGTATAGCAGAGTGTTATTACATACATGGTTCAGGATTTGTGAGCAAGAGGAAGTTTGTGTACTAAAAGACATTTCAAACTGAGGATGATTTGCAAATATTACGTTTTTTAAAACATTTTCTTCAAGAATGTAACAATTATTTTATGTTATTTATAAAAAAGTAATGAGCTGTTCAGTGATATTTTATTGACTTTCTTACACTTCAGAAGGTATTTTTGTAAGACTATTGTGTCATGGCAATGAACTGATTTGTCAGAATCAACTTAGAATGACATACAAACAGGGAGAAATCACATCTTTCATGTGATTATAATCTAAAGAGAGTATAAGGACAGTCACAAACGTCATTCCTTCACTGTATCCAGATCCCATTGCAATGGTA